AAATGGGCAGAAAACAACAGAATGCAGTTCAACAAGGAGAAGTGCAAAGTGCTGCACCTAGGGAGGAAAAATGTCCAGCACACCTACAGCCTAGGGAATGACCTGCTGGGTGGCACGGAAGCGGAAAGGGATCTCGGAGTCCTAGTGGACTCCAAGATGAACATGAGTCGGCAGCGTGACGAAGCCATCAGAAAAGCCAATGGCACTTTATCGTGCATCAGCAGATGCATGACGAACAGGTCCAAGGAGGTGATACTTCCCCTCTATCGGGCGCTGGTCAGACCGCAGTTGGAGTACTGCGTGCAATTCTGGGCACCGCACTTCAAGAGGGATGCAGATAACCTGGAGAGGGTCCAGAGAAGGGCCACTCATATGGTTAAGGGCCTGCAGACCAAGCCCTATGAGGAGACTGGGGCACCTGGACCTCTTCAGCCTCCGCAAGAGAAGGTTGAGAGGCGACCTTGTGGCTGCCTATAAGTTCATCATGGGGCCACAGAAGGGAATTGGTGAGGCTCTACTTACCAAGGCGCCCCCGGGGGTTACAAGAAATAATGACCACAAGCTAGCAGAGAGCAGATTTAGACTGGACATTAGGAAGAACTTCACAGTTCGAGTGGCCAAGGTCTGGAACAGGCTCCCAAGGGAGGTGGTGCTCTCCCCTACCCTGGGGGTCTTCAAGAGGAGGTTGGATAGGCATCTAGCTGGGGTCATCTAGACCCAGCCCTCTTTCCTGCCTATGCAGGGGGTCGGACTCAATGATCTATTGAGATCCCTTCCGACCCTAACATCTATGAATCTATGATTTACTGTTAGCAAGTGCAAAAGAGGAAGGTGAAGATAACGACACCTCTCTGAAGTGCCCATTATTGGAGAGTTGCACCAGTTATCTCCAGAACTCCTTAGATTCAGAACATAACTTACCCATTTTCACTAACATTTGATGCCCTTTATTTTCTTCTCCGAGTCTTGATTCAGGTATAGGAGGCCCAGAGCTGGAGCCCAAACCAGCAGCAGAACTAAGAGAGAACATATGTCAGAATTTCTTATTGTTCTCCCTTTGCTTTACTGTGCTAGAACAAACAATGCAAGTTTCTCGTTATGTAAACTTTAATAACCATCATCACCTTTGAGAAGCTATGACATAAGGAGTCCTGTGCAACATGTCACATGCAACCCACCACCCAAATCAGCAGATACTGAATCCCAAATCCCATGGCTCTCTCAAGAGTAACTCAAGGGCCCAGAGTATCCCTCTTCCTTTCTGTTACATAGCTGGTTTTGTTTGTTTTACATCCTGGAAGTAAAAAAGTAGCAACCACAAAGAATTATGGAGTAACTTTATTCTCTCTCAGTGTATATTATACTACGGTACAGTTCATACAAGTTACATTCTTAAATCGGCCTCAAATTCTGCCCTTTCTATCCAGTATATCATTTAATATAAAAAAAACAAAAGAAAGCACGAGACACATCCCAGGTCAACCTCAAAAGGTAAATCATTAAACTCAATCCAAAAGAAAACCTTACGGAGGAGTAGGACTCCGAGATCGGGATCGGTGCCGCCTTCCAGGGGAGTAAGATTTTGATCTTGATCGTGACCTTGACCTTGACCGGCTGCGAGAAGAGCGGGACCTGCTCCTACTTCTGGAAAGACAGGATGGGTGAAGTCTATTAACTCTCTTTTATGTATAGGAGTGCTAAAGCATTTTTTTTTTTCACTTTTTCTACTTGCTTCCTAGTTTCCTAAGTCACTCGGCAAAGTTAATAAAGTAACACCAGTCTTAAAAAAAATGTGTCTAAGAGCTGGAAAAGTTAGAGAGAGCATCAAAATCTATAACGAACACACTATTTGAAATACTCAAATTGCCAACTTCACTTGCTTGAGTAAATCCCAGTGACCTTAAGGAACTTATGGTCAACTTAAGTATCTTAAGAGTCTTAACTGTGGTCTCCTGAAGAAGGCACTACATGTTCCAGAATTTTCCATTTGCATTCAGAAACCACTTGAAAGAACTGTTTAAGAGAGATACTGGGAACATGATCTAAAGCCACAGTCCCATAACTGGTGTTTGGACATGTTGCTCATGAGACTCTTAACACTGTTTATAGCCACAGGATATTCTGCTTTCTACAGATTCTTCAGACTGATGGGGTGGGAAAATGTGATGCGTCCCACAGTGCATTCCTGGGTCAGAGCTGTTGACCACTGGGCCAGGAAAGGCTGGGGACTACCGCTCTAGAGTAACAGGAGTGGGAATCAGGAAATCTTATGTTCTAGTTGCATGAAACTCTACCACTGACTTATCACCTCTCTTTACCTACCTTAGTGTGGTAACATTTACTTTCCTACCTCCAAACAGTTATTGCCAAGATTATTGTACAGGTCTTTGTCAAATATTGTACTGTATAAAACAGCACGATATGAGATTTAGACAAGTT